AAGTGTGTGAAGTTCATTGTTAACTCGTGTTGTTTTTGTTGCATGATTTTCTGGAATGATTTTAGAGAGAACAACCAAATTTAATTGCATTTGACAGCGTTGTGACGAATTACCAAGATTGTACATTAAAAAAACAAATTTGAACAACACAATTATGTAATACCAATTAAATGTGTTAAAAGAATAAGTAACTAAACACATGTTGTTATGTTGTTGTTGATTTTAAATGTATTGCCCAGAAAAAGAAAATGCGTTAACAAATTTTAAAATACATCTACATCAGATAATTTTGTTACGATGATTATTTTTTCAGCATGTATGCATTATTCATTTTTAATCTTTAAAAAAACACAAGAAAGTGTTAGCTGCTGTTTATTTTATTAAACATATAGATTAAAAATATTGTTTGTTATTTAGAAACGGCATGGTTTCCTTATTAAAAAACGGATTACCATTTTTGCTTTAAAGATAATAATCTTTTTTTTATGCTTTTAATCATAAATTGATGTAAAATAAAGATTTTATTTTGAAATTTCCCAAAAAGCTTTTTTTGAAAAGATATAACCAATTTAATTTATGTAAATAAAGGAGGTAATTAGAAAACTTTTCCGAAAAAAGTCTGTCAATAAGAAATAAAATTCATAATTTTATAATTATTAAATGCGAATAAAATTTGCATACATTTTAACATATTTTTGGGGTTTTTTTGAAAATCGAAAATTATTACATATAAAAATTTCAATTAAGGTTTTTTTAAACCACGGGACCAAAAATTTTTTTCTATGAACTTTACGGAAAATACGCTTATTTGTGTTCCTTAAATTTTGATATTTTTTTCAAGGAAATTAAACTTTTTGGGAGATTTTTTGTTTTCCTTTTTTATTTTAATAAAAAAATCTTATGTTATTTGAGAATATTTCAACGATTTATTTATTTTGGTTTCTTATTGATATGCATGTATAATTAAGATTTTTACATTTTTCTTTTTCTTAGCAGCAATGGAAACTTTTTTAACATAATATGACTTGTTTAATATATAGATTAAATAAAAACACGTGTATCATTAAATGCGAAGTAGTTGTATAGTTTTTTAAAGAAAATAAGAAAAAACATTTAAAACTCACCTCAGACTTAATCGCAATTAATAAGTTGCTATATTTAAACGACGTTTTCTAAATATCAATCAATACATATCAAGAAATCTTTAAATGATATTTAAACATTTTTCGAATCTTTGAAAAACACTTGTCAATGACCTTTTGGATGGTGCATTTAATCTTATTGTAGGTGAGGATTTCTCCGTATATCATTTAATATTCCTCAAAAGACGTGCAGTGATTAAATGATGCAAATTATTAATCTTTCATTCAATTTATTTTCAAATGGCGCAAGATGTTTACGTTTTAATCATTTTTTTTAATTTATAAAGCGTTAGCGTTCTATATTTATTGTGGTATGACCATCCGGTGTTACATTGGAATCATGTAAAAGTTTTATGTATACGTAGTCAGTGTGTAAAGTCATATTTTATGTTATTATAAGTATTAGGTCATATTTTATGTTATTGTAAGTATTAGGTCATATTTTATGTTATTATAAGTATTAGGTCATATTTTATGTTATTGTAAGTATTAGGTAATATTTTATGTTATAGCAAGTATTTGGTCATATTTTATGTTATTATAAGTATTAGGTCATATTTTATGTTATTGTAAGTATTAGGTAATATTTTATGTTATAGCAAGTACAAGTAACTTCACTGGACCATGTCTGGCAGGACTGTGTAATTCAACGTATGCCAAGTCTTACGTTTACAACCACGTTTGACAACCCATATATCTTAACTTGTACTTTTTTGTCATAATAGGAAGTTTACTCCGTTTTTCCACTGTATACTGTATAAATTCCTAACTGCTATTAAGGAAATTGCACATATGCATATAAAAAACATACACTAAAATCGACACGTCGCAGCCGGGGACCCGGCCATCGGGTCTCTACATACGCGGTCCAGTATGTTATCAGCTACGCACAGCTGTCGTTGCGTTCGAGTCCGACTGTGCGTGCCTACTGTTTTATGATATGGTACTTTAATTGTTCAATATTTCAAATGAATTCGTGAATAGGAAGTATAAAAAGTTAATGCAAGATAACGCCATGGAAGTTTTTGACATAACAGGGCATGATTGTTTTTTCGTCATTTGTGTCGCATGTGATGGGGGGTCTGAACTAATAAGTTGTTAATGTTCACTGTAATATTTAAGAAAGGTTTTCATTTTATTTTTAATTATGACCTAATTAAACAGTTGTAGCTTACTTCCACGCAAAACCCCTCAATTTCAAATTTAATTTTCGTAAATATTTTCTATTATCATATGCTTATTGTACTAGTGCTAAAGTGTGAAAATCCCATTAAATATGTAATTGGCTTTTGGAAGGGGGGGGATCGCTTTAAAAAAAAATATGTATGTGAAAAATGCACCCCCCCAAAATATTTTCTCAATTTTAAAAGAATTTTGTATATTCCTAGTACAATTCCAATCAACTGTTAAAATTTTCTCTTGCTTTGTTTGCCAAACGTAAGGTGAACTCACCAAATATATATAGAGGATATTTGTTTGAGGATATTTGTTTTGTTAGTGTGTAAGAGAAATTTATTTCATCGAGTGGGCTTAAAAACAAGTATTTTCACGAGTGGCGTAGCCACGAGTGAGAATACGGTTTTTAAAGTTCACGAGATGAAAAAAATATATATCGTTACACAACAACAGACAAATTTTCTTTTTATTTTATGCTTTAAAACAAGTTAAAACGAAATTTCCATAATATTTAACGTTAAATATTTTAATCTGTTTCCCCATTGTGAGCCCCATTTAGTTTCGGAATTTCTCATAAAATACAATAAGTTTTGTGCTGAAAAATAAGTTCGACAATCAACGTAAATGACGGTGATATATTTATCATTTCATTAAAAAAATGAAATGATCGTTTGTTTAATAATAAAACAAACAATTCTTGTAAGAAAAAGTCAACCATCCTTTCCATAGTCTCTGTTACTTACTTCGCGAATTTATATATAGACCTGGCTAATGTAAGCGGCAGCCAATTTTTAAAATTGTGTATTTCAGGGAGAAAATAATTGTGTTTGTTTCAGAGAGCTATCATTTGGATTAGTTAGTCATACACCTTTTTAAAAGAAAGAAAACTTATTTGAGGATTTTTAACATACAAAAAATAAGTGTTGACAGATGTGAAAACATTCAAAAAGCAGTTAGGAAAATGGAAAACTTCAAAGGCTGGCTCAGGAACGCTGGGTTGTTTTACTTATTCTTCGAGCTGATGGCTGTCATTGCTTTTCAATTGTTCATAAAAGCATACGGCAGTTATTGCTCGTATGATTACTTTAATATACTCAAATGTCATCAAGAGCAGTTGCATGTGGAAGGAATGTATTTTTCAGACTGTAAAAATGACACCAAAAAAAAAAATTAGAGAAGGATTTTTGTGATTGGAATTTGAATGAATAGAAGTAAGTTTTTTTTTTTTTTTTATTACTTTTGACATTTTAAGTTATTTATCAATTTTTGCTTTGCTTTTCTTTAAACAGCCTGACATTTTTCAGAGTTACCAGCAAAAATAAAATTGAGGTACGCACATGGGGAAAATCTTAAAACAGTAGTTTCGTCATTGAAAAGTGTGAAATTATATTTTTGAATAATTTTCACTGTAAAATTATCAAATATAATTTTTCACGGATAAATCAGTAATCCAATGAAAAGCATAAAACAAATAATTTATAATTACTTATTATGCCTGAATAAGTTCAGACTAGTTACTGTACTACATGTACTACAAGAAACACGGGTAGATATTTTTATCGTGCTCTGAAAAAATACAAAACGTTGCTTCTTTAGTCTTAATTTCTTCTCAAACACTTTTTGTCTTTCAAAATGTTAATTTAATTATGTTTAGTTTTTTCAAATTTACTTATTTAAATTTTAACTTTTAATCAATATAGATGTTTATACTAATTATCATTCTTTGTGTGTATTTGTGATATCTCTAAAATGCTATTTTTATATTTGTTAAAGAAAAAGGTATTTTCTTACCGATGATATCATTGTTGAAGTGGTTTTAGACACAAAGAACATCTTGGTTAGATATATATATATATATATATTCTTTTTTTTTTTTAATTTATAATCTGATTTGCGTGATGTCAAACGAAAAGGTAACACAATAAGTCAATATTGATATCATTCCTGCCATACAAAGGAGTTGTAATATTCACCAAGCCATGTTAGCTGGGAAGAGTATGGCTCGAGCAAACTAGCCGACATGTCAATAAAATCAGTCCTCGTCTCGAAAGTAACACGTGACACAAACCAGGAATATCTAGAAACAAAATGAAATCGAACATTACTAACGAATATAAGATCTTCTTGAATATCAAACGGAAAATGATGTTTGTTTGATACAATGTTAACTTTTCGCCCACGGTGTGAAGGCTCAATATTCATCAGAAAAAAAGTACGAAAGACTAGTGGGGACATTTCAACAACAAAAAAAATCCCGTTTATATCTGTGTGAATTTACAATGTTAACTTCATAAATTTACACTTTTAACACACGGAATTCATGAATTCATGATTTCAGCTTCATGAATTCACGAAATAAAATTCATAAATTCACAATTTCAACTTCACGAATCCATGATTTCAACATCATAAGATCACAATGTCAACATTTCAACTTCATAAATTCACGATTTCAGATTCGTGGATTCACAATTTCAAATTCACAATTTTATTTTTACGAATTCGTGATATAAACTTAAGAATTCACGATTTCAACTTCATAAACTTAATAAAGTTGATATTGTGAATTCGTGAAATTGATATGTATTATGTCCGCCACCGCCCCCCCCCCCACCGGTCTTTCGTAAACATTTGTTGAATAATAAACGTTTCAGAGCTCGTTAGATGTTACAGGACTGAAGTAAGAAGAGTCGTACATGCAGGATTGTGTCTATTTTCTATGTCCCGTAGAAAAATCTAAAAAAAAATAACTTTCATACAAAAAAATGATTACATTTTAAATATACCAATTGCCAAAAAATAAAATAGAGCAAAAGCTAGATTATCTATATTGCAAATGAGTACATTTGAAAACTGTTACAATATATCATTTTTTTACTTGGTTAGCAACATTTATACAGTCAAGTGTTTGTTTTCTTTTTTGTAACAAAGAAGAGTAAACCCATACCATAATAGGACATCTTATGAATTTAGAAAACAACAACAAAATTGTAATTAATTGATTCAACAAAATATGTAGAAAGACTGTAAAATATCATTTGAGCAAGCTAGAATTTTACTTTGAGACTGAACGTATTCTTAAGTTCTTAAAGTTTGCTCGAACTACCGATCTCTCGAACAAATTTGCACAGGCCCTCCGAGTTCGAGCGAACGAAGTTCGACTGTATAACAAACCAAAATTCGCATTTACAATATTAAATATATCTAAAAATGGTTATAGTTTACTTGTAAATGTAAGCTGCACTTTCAAGCATTGGTAGAACTGCCTCCATATATGCAAACTGCACCGCGTCATTCCAAGTATTAGGGCACGCAAACTCCGTTAACCATATTTTAAGCCCGTATTTGTTGTACAGATTCTCCAGGAATTCCATAGTTTCATAAGGGTTACAGCTGTACATATGCGTAGCTAGGTAGTCCACACGACAGTCGACACAATTCGCGAAGAACGCATCAAACCATTCCTCCGTGCTACATAAGCAATTAGGACCATCGCACCTTGCCGGAGAAGGACTTACTATTGGCCTCCCGTTTGCCAGTGCTTCTACCTCTCCCCATACACTCGCTGCTAGTACTGGATCGATATTTGATTGGGTCATGTGATTTGGTTCGTTGAATGCCATGAGAAAGGCCGCTTCATTATTGAGATAGTACTGTGAAAAATAGCTTCCATAGCCCCATACCATTGGGACGTGTGTGTCGACATTGGCATCTATATTGTTACATCCACTTTCCCCTTTAATAAGGTCCAAATTAGCGCCCCAGTCATACCTACATTATAATAGAATTGTACTTTATTTTCTAAAAAAAATCTTTTCATTGTTTGGTTAATTAGAATTGCATGATCATCTTATTTATCATGCCATTACTATGACAACTGCCTGATAAAGCCTGTCTGAGAACAGCAACCTTTCTCAGTCAGTGACTTGAGAACACTTTGTTCCTACGCCAGATCAGCAATGATGATGTTTATTGTTGGTATTGTTTAATTGACTTTGCTGAATATTTATGATAATACACAGTAAATAAATTGTTAAAGCAAATTGTACCAAAAATTGTGTTGTGTTATAAAAGTATTGGTAAAAACCCTCGGACTACTTTTTTGGCGTATAACCCTCTTGTGGTTACCGTACTTTCAGAAATTAGCGCCCCGAATTAAAAAAATAAGATGCAAAATCATAATAGAGGCATGAGAAAGGATTTCTCAGACTCGGCTAGATATGGTCCGGAAGGGGCTCGGCAAGCCTCGCCCCTTCCAGGACCATATCTAACCTCGTCTGAGAAACCCTTTCTCAAAAGACAGTAACCTGTTATTCTCTATATATAATATTCGACATAGTGTCACAAAAACCCGTCTAAATCCTACACCGGCTGCCGGTACATACCGGAATAACTAGGGCGAGGGAAACTGTTTATTGCGGTAACGAGGCTCTGTCGAGTTTCCGCTTAACAGTTACCCGTGAAGTTAACATTCATGTCTGTGACGACAACCGGTGCTTGATTCTTTTTCTTGCATATTACAAATTAATAATGTTTCGGACAGAAATATCATTACTTTTTTCTTTTAGTAGCGTATGAATTTACAGCTTCATTCAAAACGGTAAAATAACGTCATTCGAAGCGTGTCATTTTATAGCACGCATCTGCCACTATCCATGCCAGATGAAGTTTCAAGCATTGGTAAAACTAATGGAAAGCCAGTCTGATATTCAAGAAACGACATTCTCTCATATTTTAAATATTTCACCTTAATTATTTTATGTTTTATGGAAAATCTTGACATTTCTTGCAGAAGTGATTAGATTAACAACTACATTCCCTAGAGCGTCATCGAAAGAACGCAATAACATTCTTAATGACGTCATTTTGGAGCATATAACACGTGGCACGAAAAGTTTTTAAAGTTATATACGCTTGCTATTTTATTAAAAGAGTTTGGAGAAAGTTGCTTTTTAAATATCGTTTGTGTTTTTACTGCCGTTTTGCAATAGATTCTTTTTTCATCATAGTCTGACCATTCAAAGTAAAGGTATTTATAAAAAAAAGCGTGTTTTGCTCCGCGCCACCGCCATTTTAACTTGGTAAAGCTTGGCGGAGTCGCGGGGCGAAAAAACGAATGACACAAATCAGCTACAATACATTTAATGTCTAATCTTGTTATTTTTTTGTTTTAGAGTCGTCTCTACAAGTAGTGGCGACATATAGGGATCACTTCTCCGTCGTCTGTCTGTCCATCTGTCTATCCGTCCGTCCGTCCGTCACAAAAATTGTCCGGACTACTCTTCAAACTCTACTGGTGCAATTTCACCCAAACTTTCGATCCTTGTTGTGCTTGTGGTATTTTTAGTTTTAACTTTTCGGTATTTTCTAGTTGGTTGGTTCCAATATTCCTATTTGAATAATGTTGAATCACCCTTAGGATGTGTTTATATGGCGGTCATCATGGAACCTTCAACGTGACACGTAGTGCCATTCCATGAAAAGCGGCATAAAATGTGTTGTAGTTAAATTGTAAACATATCGTTAACTGGAGTACCCGCACTCCAGAGCATGCCCATTGATTGGCTCATTTTTGCTGGGGTTTACTTGTTGTGACAGCATAGAAAGGAAAATCGATATAAATATCATATTTAGATGCTCGGTCATTGGTTACTTTTTTCTGGGGTTTCATAATTATTGTGACGACAGGGAACGTTTTTATATATATATATATATATATATATATATATATATATATATATATATACGGAGTGTATGACTAACAGGTTTTATATGATCTCACGTTAAGGCTATCGCGACATTCACGTGACTCAAAAGATCAAAAACGCGAAATAAAATTGGTGAAAAATCAAAATACTGAAACCCGAGGGTGAAAATACAAAGGTGCGATGATGAAAAGTCGGATGTACGATGGTGAGAAATGACGTTACGAAACTACGATAGTGAAAACTAGATATAATTTCGTGTTATTATCGATCATATTTTTTACTTTTCACTATCGTGGTTTCGTTGTTTCGTAAATTCACCATTTTACTTTTTACTTTTTCAACAATTGTAATTTCGTTTCGATTTTTCTCGGACGAGGTCCGTCTGTTATCGGTTTGACTTGCTGTAAAATTAACAGGAAAGTACTAAATGTAAGAATAAATTTTAATTGGTCATGTTAAAATTACAAACTGAAATCAGTGACTTTCATTGGTCACTCTAAAAGAAAATGTAAAGGACAGTTCTAACTATTATCAAAAAAATGTAAAGGATAGTTCTTACTATTCTAAAAATAATTTAAGGATAGCTCTATGATAAGATGTAAGAGATAGTTTTGTCACTATAAAATAAAATATAAAAAGGACAGTTCTAAAATAAAATGTTCATCTTTAACTGCTAGGTTAATTTGTAAATGAGTACAAACTTTATAAAGTCAAACGAAAAACAAGTAAAAAGGACACCTTAATTGGATGTTCTTCTTTGAAAAATCAATATGAATATGCTATAATTCAATTTCAATGTTTATAAAATGGGTATTTTTTAATAGCTACAAGAAATAATTATCATGTCATTGTTATGCAAGCATTGCTAACATTTCTTTTTGTATTGAAAAGAATGATATACTTTTGCATGTTAAACAGTTATTCTTCTGCGGAGTATCTTTTTAAAAGATACTCCTTGTTTTACCATTGTAATTTCGTTATTTCGACTATGTATCATCGTACCCATCGAAGTTTCGTCTTTCTGACTGACATGCCCACAATTATAATAACAGTTGATAACGATGTAAGAAAGGATATACTAACGTGTAACATTAAAGATTTCAATGATAACCGCCGTATGAACACATCCGCGGATATTTCTAAATTCGAAAAATATCCACTTCATGTTAAATGATGAATACAGCGTAATAAAGCAGATGCAAGGGAGCATGGACGGTAGCTTGCACTTTCAAATACCGTCAATGAACAGGCTCAATCAAACCGAACCTACAACATTTTCAATTTTGTGGTTTTGGACGTTCTTTAGGGATTCCGTTCTTCCTCGTGATGTTAGAATAATGTAACTACATTGTGCGTTGTCACTCAGTACGCATGTTTAATAGGAAGTACGAAAGTGCAATCTAGAAGGTACGATGGTGAAAATATGAAAGTACCAATATTAAAAGTCTAAGGTATGATGCTGAAAGGTCGGAAGTATGATGGTAAAAATTCGAATATATAATAATGAAAAGTGGAAAGCACAATGGAGAAAAAATCGAAATAACGAAATAATGATAGGAGTTTCGTTATTGCGACTTTTCACCATCGTACTTCCGACTTTTCAGCATCGAACCTTCGTCGTTTTACCATCACGGTTTCGTTACTAACTTCTCGCCATCGTAATATCGTGTCTTCTTCATTTCGTGTTGTGTGTGTGTGTGTCTCGATTGCCCTTAAGGAACTTTGTAGTTTTCACATTTAGCTAGCTAGATTTATTAAATATCAAGACTTAGTATTGTTGGAATAGTGAAAGACGATAATATGAAAAGACTATTCTTTTTGTAGAGTAACACTGGCACATATACAATTTCTAAGATATTTCCTTTGCAATTTTGAATGGAGAATATATAAAGAAAGTGTAAGATAGCAAAACAATCTAGAAGAAGGGCAATCGCCGTCGGAAAGCATTGATCACAATAAAATTACATGAAAATTGCAGACTCGGTTTGTTTCAGTCTGTACATGAGGGATAATATAAATGTGAAACATGCAACTTGCGTTCTGTAGATTATATAACCAATAAAACATTTTTTTTTTATTTCTTTCAAGAATCAGCAATTTCTATTTCACCCAACAGTTTACTCTAGACAGTTACAGATAAAAAGGCACAATGTACATTTCTTTTTATTATTTATGTTCTTTATTTATCTTTTTAATTAATTTATTTTTTTAATTCATTTTTTTTATTTATTTTTTTCGTTTCCATTAACAATCATTTTAGATGTACATGTATATCAGTTCCTTGTCATAATTATACAAAGTTACAAACATTTGTTAAAACAGGATTGTGTGAGCTGGTTGTGATAGCGATTATGTCAAAAATGTCAAAGTACCATATAATATGTTATTGGTAAAGTTAATAATTTGGTGGGATATGAGCATTGCCAATTACTTTGGAAAACAATACATACATGTATAACATGTACCATGTCGTTAGAAATATTTCATATATATTACCGATTTTTTTTTTGTTATTATGGAAAGTGCAATGTATCTCACCCCCCCCCCCCCAGCACCGCCTAAAGAGGTATTTCAACTTTCAACCAATTCAGAGAACTTATCAGTCATAAATAGTCTTTACTTGTAAATGAAACTGATACCTCATTTCCTCCAAACTTTAAAAAAAAATCTAATTACAAAAAAATTTAACTTACCACCATGCAAAATTGGTGAATGCTTGGAAATCGTCACAGAGAAACGTTCGCGGATCCACAGCTAGCCCTTTCTTCGTAGATCCTTCAATCAATCCCAAACAAGAAACTACAATGAATGTAAATTGTAGTAAAATTTTCCCCATCTCTTACAATAAATCGCCAATATTGTAATAGTATAATAGATATATTTCTTCGGAATGAAGATAGTCACGAATTGCTGCTCTATTTATATACAAGCTTAAAGAAAAACATCAATAATGATGTTAATGTATTGTCCTAAACAGTGAGTGGGAGTTTGATCATTTTCAGCTTCATGGGTATCGCTTTAAAAAACCATACTTCACACGGAACGTAGATTTTTGGCTATACCACGCCCTGTATCGTTTGACTGACATAAGAATGCTAATTTTAGTACACGCCTAATGCTTAAAAATACAGAAATACGGAATACCATAAGAATCCCAAAACGACAAAACTGAAAATAAAATGTTGCAGTTTCTTTTGATTGAGCCTGTTCATGGACGGTTATGGAAAGTGCAAGTTACCGTCCACAACCCTAGCAACAGCGTAAGGAGAATTAACATTTAAACATGCAATGGTGAAATTTTGAATTTAGAAATATCCGCAGATGTGTTCATACGGCGGTTTTAATGGAACCTTCATTGTGACACGTTAATGCCAATTCAACCGAGCTCAACCAAACCGAGTCTGCCACATTTTCAATTTTGCCGTGTTGGGTCTGTTTATCTATTAAAATCTTTTTGAAGGAGGTAGTATGGTTTAACAGAACTTGAATATCTAACTATTTGAACAGAAAGCCTGCATATTTTATTTTAGAACTTTCCTTCGCTTTTTATTTTATAATGCCAAGGATTATCCTTTACATTTTATTTTAACATGAGAATTCCCAGATTTCAGTTTGTGATTTTAAAATGACAAATTAATTTTTTTTTATTCAGTTATTCTCTGTAAATTTTACGGGAAATCAACCTGATTTCAGACGGTCTTCGGCCGAAAATGGTAAAATTTGGTAAACTAATGTCGTTTGTTAGTGCCGAAAATCGTCAATCACGCTCATAACGTTTATTGTCTGTTCGTTGTTTAAGTTAACTTGAATACCAAAACACACAAGAAGATAGTATTTTTTTAAATAACATCTTAATGAAATATCATAAAGCTTTCACTATATATTTGTATCCTTTGTGCATTACTTCTGTTTACAAACAAGAGGGCCAAGATTGTCCTAGATCGCTCACCTGACCCATCGAACTCATCCGAGCAAATACCTAGACAAGCATTCTCACACTAAGTTTCATGACAGGTGAGTCAAAAATGTGACCACTAGAGTGTTAACAAGGTTTTTTCATATTTGGGCGGTGTGACCTAGTTTTTGACCTCAGGAGACCCCTATTCAAAGTTGACAAAGAAATCATAAGAACAAACTTTTCAGAAAAATTTCCGGGATATTTGGATCAAAACAGTAGCCACTAGTATGTTAACAAGATTTTTCTATTTTTATGCTCCTGTGACCTAGTTTTTCATCCAAGATGACCCATGTTCAAACTCATCCGAGCAATTACCTAGACAAGCATCTTGACCAAGTGTGATGACAATGAAGTCAAAAGTGTGACCACTAGAGTTTTAACAAGGTTTTTCTATTTTTAGCTCCTGTGACATAGTTTTTCATCCGAGATGACCCATGTCCAAACTCATCCGAGCTATTACCTAGACAAGCATCCTGACAAAGTTTAATAATGATTGAGACAAAAATGTGACCACTAGAGTGTTAACGAACAAGTTTGGACAGACGACGGACATTCAACAATCCTAAAAGCTCACCCTGAGCTAGCTCCGGTGAGCTAAAAAGCAATTAAAGTGATAGTTTTGTTGAATTTACTTATTACTAATATCCACGGGTCTATAAGTTCGAGTGAACAGGTAGAATTCAAAATAAGTTTGAATTTTGCCATAATTCATTTCTATTTTTCTAAGTTACTTCACATTAAAGATAACCACCTCATGTGGCCTGTGAATATTTCTGTAAATATCCATAAGAATTCATAAGGAACGTAGAGTGGAGCAATCTTCTTACTTAAGGCATATTTATAGATATGTTTCCCTTAACATTTTCCAGTATCAACTGTTGGTCAATTACCATTATTATAACAGGAAGTCTTTTGAAATATAGAAACAATTTAGCTAAACTTGACAGCATAATGTACTTTTAAATACCAAAATATGTATAATCATGCCTTAGTATTTATGTTTATAATGTGATATTATGACCATCCAAGGATTAACTGTGAGTGAACAGTTAAAAGTACAAAAAAATACATTTTGCCATAATTACTGTTAATGTTATATACATTTACTTCGCATGAAGGATAAATAACTCACGTGGATTAAATTATTGTCTATAATTTAAAATATGCTTCGACTTTCAACTTATAAAAAGAGTGGGGCAGTCTTCTTAAGTTTCGGGCGGATTTCGGACTTGTTTTACCATGAACAATTTCCACTATCAACTGTTTGGCAATCATCGTTATACGAGGGGTGTTCAAAAAGTTTTGAGACTAATGTGCTTCCGTAGAAAATTACCATTCAATTTGCACGAAATTCACGAGATCTTATTGTTAGCCTGTCGATGACAATTGAGTAAAATTTTATTGAAATCAAATCATGCGTTTAAAAGTTATTGTGTATTATTTATCATATACTCGTATACACTGGTCATTTGTACATGTAAATATGAAACCTAGTGAAAAATTAGAAATTCGAGGATACATAAAAGTGCGGTGTAGTCTAGGAATTACTGCCGAGAAGATTCTGAATGAAGTGCATAGTCACTTTGGAATCAATAGTGTATCGAAGAGCACTGTGTACAGGTGGTTCAAAGCATTCACCAATGGATTGGATAATGTCAAAGACAGGAACCGTTCTGGCAGACCTCAGACAGCAATCACTTCCAGAAACATTGCTGCTGTGAAAAATCTAATAGAAGATGATGCTCGGTACACGGTACGCGAGATAGCTTATTATCTGAACTTATCAACGGGTACCATTCAGACCATTCTGACGAAGGAATTGAATTTAAGAAAAGTTTGTGCCAGATGGGTACCCCATCTCCTGACCGAGAATCAGAAAAGGGAAAGAGTGCGTCTTGCGAAAGAAACATTGAAAAAATTCAAAAATCTCGATTCAAGGAAAATAAATGAACTGATTACGGGAGACGAAACATGGATCTACTATTTTGAGCCCCAGAGACGCATAAACAACAAGCAATGGCTCTGCAAGAACCAGGCTAGACCCATCATTGCTAAAAGGACTAAGAGCGCAAAAAAGTGATGTATGCGGTTTTCTTTAATTCGTAAGGCCCTGTGGTACAAGTTGCAGTTCCAGGAGGGAAAACTGTCACTGGAAAGTTCTACCGGGATAAGATTTTGAAACGTGTCAAGACGTTTTATGAAAATCGTCGCCCAAGAACTGGTTTAAGAGGGTTGTACCTCATTCATGATAACGCTTCATCTCATAAATGTGATATAGTACAAAGGTTCATCGAGGAAGAAAAAAATTGTACAAGTGAAGCATCCCCCTTATTCTCCCGATCTAAGTCCTTGCGACTTTTTCCTCTTCCCCGAAGTCAAGAAACGGCTTTCTGGACGGCGTTACGCATCACGCAGTGCGCTGGGAAGTGCGCTCTACCAGTGCCTTTTGGGTATCGTCACTATCCCCAAGGGGAACTACTCTGACGCTTTCCGGAGGTGGATAGATCGACTTCATAAGTGTATTCGGGTTCATGGAAACTATTTTGAGGGATTAAAATAGAAAAAAAAATATGATATATATTGTTGTTTTTATTTCATTGCTACAGTCTCATAACTTTTTGAACACCCCTCGTAGCAGTCTATCTAGTGAAATATGTAGTCAATTCAGCTCAACTTGACAATGAAAAAATGAGCAAAATGTCGCGTGTACCTGATCTCATTTCCTTGTCTCCGGGCCGAGTATTTGTTAGTTTACAAAATGACATTTCATGGAGGCTATTAATTGACCTTAATTAATATAAAACACCACAGTGTTGTTTGTTTTTCTATTTCGATCAAAGAAAAAAAACCAGCTGCTTAGTACTTATATTGTCTTTTCGATTCAATTAATTTGTTTATAGAAAGAAAAGCAATTTGGACTGTGAAATGGCATTTTTATATATGTAAAAACATTCGCGTATCATAAATAGTCTTAATAATATTGTCTTGATACGAAAAAAATAATAAAAATCTCGTTACTTGAAATTAGCATTAATTGGGCATGACTTATGTAGATGAAGAAAACAAAACAATTAGTGTTAATATATAAGAAGGAACTATAATATTAAAGACACATTCATTCTAAGAAGATTTTTTGACTGAATAATAGAATTAGTTACAATAAAATAAAACTGTTGCTTATATTCGTAAACTCACATTCCAAAAGCATTGGATGAGTACAGACATTCACTGCGTGCCTCAAATGTTTACGAAGCGCTAATAACGCTTTGTACGTGATGCATTACGGCGGCGAGACTCCAGAAATTCTTGCTGGTAATATATTTCAACGCAATATTTCTAAATTCATCCAAAACACATTATAGTGGGGTTTGTTGTGTGTGTGTGTTTTTTCTTTGTGTGTGCTTTTTTTTAATAATCTGTATACTTCAACTGTTTGTTATTGTTGTATAATTTACTTCTTTATGTTATGAAACTATACAGTAACCGAGAAATGTATGGGGCTTTTAAACTCTAGTGAAATCTTTTCGATTACACTGGGGAAAGGGC